AATAGACTCATAGAGGAATAATGTTAGTTAAATGTCAAGTTTTTAAATACTTATAATACAATGTGTGCAACGTAGTAAAATATGTAAAAAAAAAAGCTTTGAGTGGTCAAGATTTACAGAGTTACAGTCTGTGAAATTCGATATTTATTAAGGACAATGCCAGCACTGTTCTAAAAAGCAAACTAATACCAATGAATGCCAGTTCAAAACAATGCATAGAAATAAAAATGCAATAAATAATTGACTTTGTGTCTCGAAAAAATCTGGTGGTGTACACTTGATATCCGGAAAAATCAAATTTTGACGCAACAATTTTTCTCTCGACAACGAAAGGAGAACTACAATAATTGATAATAATTGATGAAATATTGATTTGTCAAAATAAAAAAATACCAAAAGTTAATTTAATTTAAAAAAATTTTATTTTACAAAATATTTTACATACAAAAAGTGTTATTGAATATAAAAAAAAATTCTTCATATTAACATGCAGCGTTAAAAATTAAACATGTCAAAATTACATTTATTTCGCTCTGTTAAAAGAATACATCAGAATTATTCTCTCTTAATAAAAATTGACGACACGTTGTTGAGAACGGGAAAATTTAGCGAGCATTTAAATCGCGAAAGATCAATAAATCGATAGTCGAATCAAAGCGCGAGCAAGAACTGGATCTCAAAGGCCCTCTTTCATGATCCACATTTATTTCCAGATCCCCAATCTTTGCCAGCGATAATCTATTTTTATCGTAGATTCGCGTATATAAACGTGAACGCTTTTCAACGGAAAAACCAGTAATCTGAAGAATAAAAAGAATCTCGACAAGAAAAATAAGCGAAACCTCAGTCGTATCTCACCAGCTTTTCCTCTGTCACTTTGTTACAATACTATTTTCACAAAGATAACTGATAACACGTCAATGTAATAATATCTCGGCCTTTTATTGTATCTAGTAATCTCGGTAATAAATTTTTCCGAAAAATATACAAGATATACAAAATAAAATTGTAATTAATATCTCCAAGTAAAATCTTATCATCGTCAAAGAGTTTGCAGGAAAACATGATGATGCAGAAATGACTACGAAATTGGCGCGATACGATCTGAAGATTTAAAAACATTTTATCGAAGCGCACCTCGCATTGAATAACAACGATAACACCGATTCTCGATCGCTGATTATAACCCGGGCTTTATCAGATAAGATAACGCGGTTGCATGTGACACACCGGAGACGGCGCGACAATATATTATATGCCCAGCTGTTTGACGTTTCTACGTCACTGCACCGCGTGTCGAGAACATTAGGCAGATTCACGACTACTCAACCCGGGTCATTGCCCTTGAAGATTTATTACTGACGGACAATTGAAAAACATTCCTCGTGTTTTGCTTCCCGCGATTCTTCGCACATCGATGTGGCAAGAGTCGGGCGGAAAATTGATTACTTAAATACCAAATTTTCGTAATCAAATTATTTACCATTGTTATAACAAGGCGAGGGAATTCAAACAGAGAACACTCTCGCGTGAGAAAGATATACATCTGCCTTAAAGTAACGCGATCCCAATACAACTCGGAGACGTTACACAAGTTTGCGAGGAGAGTGTGTAAATATACGTCTCCTCCTTTTACTTTTTTTTTTGTGCGGTCTAAGGAAAAAAACCTTGGCGGATTTATATTCCATATAAATATAACCGTAAACGTGCGACTAGTAAAGGCTGGATTAGAAAGTGGTCCCGCGGTGTCGAAATAACGGTCGATGAGCAAGGTCACCGTGCCGCTGGCGCGTAGAGTTAGGTTAGGTTAGGTTAGGTTGGCTTACGCGACGCGACACGTCGTCATCGTCGGTCGTCAATGGGCCCGCGCGTAATCTACCAGCGCGAAAAGTAAGCGGCGAAGAAAAGGGGGGCACGCTACAGTTATATCCCGGCGAAATGTCACGGCGGAGGAGACCAGACAACCGGTTTCGTCGCGCGACGCAACCCGATGCAGCGGAGCTAGACAGAGATGGTAACAGAAGAGCGACGAGAAGGTGGATCGAAAAACCTCGCCAGGGCGAGGATCGAACGTCACGGGACGAGAAACGAGGATGCGTTGCGTCAGAGAAGAGAGGGAGCAGAATGCGTGATGCGAACGCACTCGTGTACAGAACATCATCGAACGATGCGCGCGCAAGAGGTATATACAGGGTGTATCTAAATGAGTGCGTTAAATTTTAAGCGATTCTTTGCCGAAAATTCAGGGGAATTTTTTATATTAACACGTATTAAAAATTTAATAGGGGTTGTTGGTTTCATTCTCTTATAACAGAAAGATCAAGAAAATATTAATGAATTCTTTTTGTTAGTGGAAAATATCCATCAAGTTTCATTTGTTTAATTTGACTGAAATTTGAGAACGAAAATAAAAACTTAATTTTTATCTTCTTTTGTATAAGAAATCCCCTTTAATTTTCGACAAAGAATCATCTAAAATTTTTCGCACTTACATACATCCTGTACATATACGCTATAAATATAAACATCACGATTATATGAGATTTTTGTCTTGAAAAATTTCTGAAACGTCACACGACTTTGTTAAATTCTCTTCAAGAATAAAGATTATCTTCCTTCTTAGAGAGGTTAATTTTAGAATAATTAAAGGTCATCTACAACAGAGTCCTAAAGCCAATATTTTAAAAATAATCAATTGTGATTGGCCAATTTCTTGCAATCCTATTGTAAATGGTCTTTTAAAGTTGACGTAACATGAGAAATTGTTCAAAAAGTGCTCTTTATTTCCTTCTTTTATCTAGATAAAGAAACGAATTTATCAATCTGATAAAAACTCATGCGTGTGTATATATATACAGACAAAAAAAATATTTTTACATCCGAAGCAGTTGGACAAAGATGATAATTACTAACTGTCATTCGCGCGTGTCTGCTCTCTTTCTCTCGGTTCAACGTTCGCGTTCGTAACTCATTAAAGAGCAAACAAAGCGAATTAATCGCGCGAGACGCGACTTTATATCGCGTGGTGACGTGGAAAAAACAGAAATAGTCACCGACAGCGACCACGGCCAATACTTATCGTGGTTTCGCGATCCGTCACTCGATCTCGCGATCGCCTTATCTCGCGTTAACCCGCCGTTTTTCATCTCTCGCGTTATCTGAAACTCGCGCGGCGAATTTCCGCGGACGGTAGATTATTCGTTCGTTATTGAACGAGCTAGCGGCAGCTCTCATGGTCTCATTCATCGAGGTATAAATACAACGACGACAACGACGACAGCAACGACAGCGGCGGCAGCAGCAGTAACATCAGCAGCAGCAGCAGCGTGACGTCACTCGATTGGACGCGTCACGTCATGGTAACTGAATGTATATCTTTTGGTCGTCCCATCACGTGCTCGACGTACATCTCTTTGTACGCGTTCGGACGAAGGGAGAGAGGGGGGGAGAGGTGGAGGACACGGAGGGAGGACGTCGTAGCTTCGTTTTAGCGCGATCTCCCCCAACATACACATATATGTGTATATATATAGTCGTTTTATACACGCGTGTGCGTGCGTTGCCTTCTCGCGCCAGATGGCCACGAACGATGGCTGTTTGCCGCCCAGCCCTCTCTCTTTTTCTCTCTATCTCTATCTCCGTCCCTCTCCCTCGACGAGTATTTATAGTAACGACCGATAAAAACGCCGCCCGCTCTAAAAAATTACGTCGACCTAGCACGAGTATACACGCTCGGATACTTTGCTTGGGACACTTTTTGCGGTGTCTCGTAAACGCGCGAGCTTCCGCGGATCGACTTTTAATATAGGAAAAGAGGTAAAAGTGCGGCGAAAAAAACGGCGCCCTTATTAGGTACATGGCGAACACGTGTGTGCTTTTTAGATTGTTTTGTATTCTCGTCGACGCTTTGACGATTCTCTCTCTCTGTCAATTTTGCGATTTTTTTGTTGTTGTATAGGAGCTAAGTTAATTTTTATCTCAAACATAAAAAGGATAAACCTTTATCACTTTCGTGACTTTTATGTCTTTAAAGGGGAGTTATAAACTCGGTCTCTTGTCCGGGACTACAATAGAATTTCTGGAGAGACCAGTTAATATTTAGGCGAAAACATAATAACAAAACGCTCGACAAAACTCGTATTTTATTTCTTTCTGTCGAGCATTCTTCAGTTATTCATTGTTTGATGGACTGAGTTTATTTTTCAAACATTGGTTTGGTGAAAGATTTTTTTTTATTCATCGATCATCCACAGAAGCTAATTAATGTTTCAATCTTATGAATGGGACATCCATGAATGATATCTCGCGCCTTTAATCAATTGTGTTTTAAGATGCACGGTACATAAGAGCGAAAGTGGCAAAAGAATTATGTAGTGGTAAAAAACTTTCTTGTTTTATTATTCATATACTGAAAAAAGAATTCTTAACTCGACTAAACCTTTCAACTGAATATTATCTTGTTAATTGAAAATATCTAAAAATATTTAAATTAAATATAGCATATTAAAATGTACATTTGACTGAAATACAAATACCTATATGTTCAATTAACAAAATAGTAAATTAATCGAAAGGTTCAGTCGAGTTCCATTTTTTTCTGCATATCATCTCGCATTTTAAAAAATCGCTCGTTGATAAAATCAGAGAGAGAGAGAGAGCACGACATTCAATTAACAAAATATAATAGTAAATTAATGAAAAGATTTGGTCAAGTAAACCATTTTTTCCTCACCATATCATCTCGCATTTTACCGATCTAAAAACTCGCTCGTCGATTAAATCATCGGTGAAAAAAGAAAGCACGACATTTAAACTCAATTTTCTCCGCCTCGTCCAAGTTCCTAGAAATACGTATTTGAAAAAAAAAAAAAAAAAAGTTTCGAACGAATCATCGCGTTACAAATTTCGCGAGCAGTCCGCGATGCAGGCCAACTAACTCTTCTCCTCCTCCTTAATATTATTGTAGAAGAGCATCGGATGAATGAACCGGGGGAACTCACCGTTGGCCTTGAAGGTGGTAGCCGTCTCGAAGCTGGGCGCCCTGACCGGATGCTTCTCCTTGCTCCGGTCCTGGACGTAGCTGACGGCGAGGCTGACCGCTGGAAGGGAGTCGCCGCGGGTCAGGGGCGGCCTGACCGGGTGCTGCTCTTCCAGGGAGAGCCTCTTCTCGGCGTGCTCGTCCTCGTCGATCGCCGAGATGCCGCGCTTCAGCTGGGTTATGCCGCGATTGTGGCCTAGGTTCACGTGATGCGCCACCGCGGCCAGGTGGGCGTTGGGCAGCCGCACGTTGTTGCTCCTCATCCCGTTCGCCATCTCGTGACTTCCGGTCTCCTCCCCGGCGTGCTGCTGGCGGCCGATCTGCTGCTGCTGCTGCTGGGCGGCCGCGGCCGCGGCGGTCCCGGAATTGAACTCCGTGATGGAGTTGCGGTGGTGGAGCTGCGAGTACCCGGTGATGTTGTGATGGCGCGAGTGGGTCTGTCCGGTGTTCTGGATCGGCAGGACGTCTAGATTCGTCCCGCCGTTGTGCTCCGTGTGACCAGCCGGGTGCGGTAGGTCTTGGAAGCGGACGGCCTGGCGTCTTGGAAGCCGTACGCCTTCTTCAGCTGCTTCGCGGACTCGAGCACGAGGTCGATGCGGTCGGCGCCCTCGTAGTTCACGCAGCCGCGGCACACCGGCTCCGAGAAGTCCAGTATCATCGCCCAGGGCATCCTGGGCAGGTCGCAGAGATAGCACTGGGTACGCTTGCCCATCATCTTGCCGCCGAAGGAGCCGCCGCTGCTCGCTCGCTGATGCCGAAGACCGCGATCGTCGTCGTCCACTCTGCGTCGTTCCATAGCTCCTATGTCACTTCACATCCACTGTTGAATTCCCGGATAGGAATGCAAGTATATACGAATCCCGGGGACGACTCTAGAGATTTTGTTTATTAATCGCGAGAGCGGACTCTCTCTTATTAGAGCGAAGAGAATAACACACCTCGCTCTATTTCTTCCTCCTCTCCGTATATTACTCCGCCGCACAAACGCTCTCTCTCTCTCTCTCTCTCTCGCTCTTGTCTCGCCTCTTCCGCTCGGATCACTCTGCCGCGCGAAACGAGAATCGATTCCGAGCGTGGAAACTACGAGCCTCCGGCGCACTGCTCGTCCGAGAAATAATAATCCTCGCCGCTCGAAATAACGTCAATTGCGCGCACTCCGTCACCGCGGCTCGCGGGCACATGAGCCGCGAAGAGGACGAAAACGGACGGACTCGTCTTTCTCCTACGAGCCTACGCCTCTCTCGATCCAACTGTCGCACTCACGAGGGACGCGCTTTTCGGAAGGAATCGAGACGAGATGTTACCATTACCCTATATTCCCACTGTGTGTGTGTATGTGTGTGTATATATATATATATGTCTTCCGCACGCACCGCGAAAGCCGAAGTACGCGAGAGGAGACGAACGGAACAAGGCGCGAAACACAAGAGCGCGGATGTATATGGATATACGCGCGCGACAGAACGTGTACGACTCCTCCGTCTGGTTGGTGTATGAAGGGACGAACGCTCGGAGAATGCGGCGGTAAAACCGAGGCTACGACCGTCGTGCTTCCTCTCGTCCGTCCGATCCTACGCGCGTCTCGCTCGACACTGCGCGCTCCCGTATAGCGCGCTCTCCCTCTCTCCTTCGGGCTCGCTCGGCTCCGCTCGGCTCCGCTCGGCGCTTCCCCCACCACCGCCGCCGCGAGCGCTGCCGAGAGTGCCGAGTCCCTGCTCGCTCGCTCGTTCTCTCTCCCTCCTTTGCACTCGCGCTCGTCCTCTCGTCCATGCCGAGCCATTGCCGAGTCGTACCCCCCTTTCTCCCTCTCCCCGCGATGAAACAGCTACGACGACGCGGCGGCGGCGACGACGACGACACGACGACGGCAACGACGCGCTCGGCCAATCGGGCGTTGTGGCGTCATGGTGCATGACGTCATAATGCCAAAGCTACGCATGCGCGCTGCGGAGCGCCCTAGGGGGACACGTAGGCAGCGACCGGGATTCGAAGTGCGAAATATGAAGGGGGTGGGGGAGGGGGACGGGATCGGAGGGAGTCTGCACACTGTGTTATATGCGCGCGCGCGCACGTTCACATCCAACCCGGCGCCCACTCTTCGTGTAATAAGCGGCCGGTTTTGCACTCGCGAAAACGCCAAGCTCGGCCGAGTCTATCGAGAGAGAGAGAAAGAACGGTATTCCGTTCTGCGTTCGCAATTTTTATTCATATTTTAATTATTAATTTTCTGCTTTTTTTTTTTTCAAGAAAAAATTTATTCGAGCAAGCAGCAAAATAGATAAACATTTTCTAATCGTGTCATCGAAAGCAACCCTAACAGCACACATCCCTAAGACATTCAGAGAATATTCTGAGGATGTCCTTTGGATATCCTCTGAATGTCTTTCCGATATGGTGCGTGCTGTTATAGGGAACTGTCATTAAAATATTTTTTATTTGCAGAAAGACGTATTATGTTTCAGCTACAAATTATATTCCTATAAAAAAGCTGAAGATTTGATTCGCGAGAGAAATTGAAATTAAAAAAAAAAATTTAAAGAATCGTCTGCATCGTCGCTTGACGTTTCCGTTACGTCAAATTTCGACGAAAAGCTCTCTCCTAATCTCTTATGGCGTAAACAATGCTCGTTATTATCGCAGGACCCGCTGAGTCGACATTACACGAATGGCGCGTTATTTTATCGGTTTTTCTTAGCGATAACACAGCCGGAGCGATACCGGTCGATAGGTGCACCAGGGTGTAGGTACGTAGATATATTATCGCCAGCGTGTTATCGAGACGAAACGACATATGCGCTTAAGCGCTATGTCAACCTTTCACAGCTTGAACACCTCGGTTTAAAGAGAATTACTAATGTACGAGCACTTCTGACACTAGCTACGTGTCAAACCGCATTCGTTATTGCGATAATTATTCCGGCGTCGAAAATTAATTTATTTATAATAGGAGGACCTAGATATAGAAGTATGACGCGGGAATTCGACTTTTACGCACACTTTTATCTTTACAAAAAAAAATTCTAAAATCCGAGCTATCACTTTCCTTCGCGGAATTTTTTCCAGGAGGGGACATAATTAAATTTTGTTTATTTTTTAAAATTAATTTTTGATTATTTTGTTATTTTTATTTTTCTTTTATATTAAATATTTTATTCAAAAGGAAAGCAAAAGCGTAATTTTTTTTACTAATTCCAAGGGGGTTACAAGAGTCCTCTCGCCCTCTCTCTGCGGACGCGCATGGTCTGATAATAATTTATATAACCCGTAATATTTCGTAATACGTTGCTACGCGCGAGAAGTGTCTATATCGAACGCTGAAATAAACCGTTTCGGAGCCGAGGCGCGATTGAGAGAGATTTGTTTACGTCCCGGTTATTTACATAACATTGATAACAACATGCGAGAGAGTTTACATCATATCTCGAATCATTATACTCTCGTTAATAACCCCGTCGTTGAACGTTCGCTAACGACGAAGGATTGCGGCAATCGTCGATTACGTTGATCGTTATGTCGGTATTGCGTGTATATATGTATATATGTAATATATACGAGTGAAAGAATGAAAAAAAGAAGAGAGAAAAAATGAAAACGAGCGCAATATACGGTGACGTCACGTGTGCAATTTGGCGAACATTGTCGCGGCTCGTGTGCAGCATGTGCACGTTTCTCGCATTAGCCATCCCGCGAATGACATCAGTCTGACATCATAGTGTACAGCACGAGATCGTAACGTGAACTCTCTCTCTCCTCTTCGTTTTCGAGCGAGGGAGGAGAGAGTATAATTAGACGAATCGGCTTATCAATTGGCTCATTCGTCGTCGTCATCTGCCTCTCGCGTGCTTCTCGTTTATCATCGTTCACCAAAAATCGATTATCTTACGTGAAATAATAACATAATATATACACAGGGTGCATCTGAATAAGTGCGACAAATTTTAGATGATTCTTTGTCGAAAATTATAGAGGGGTTAATTGTAAATAGGTGAGGTAAGAATTTTATTTGAAATCTTCATAAATATATCCCTTTTATTAATGGAAAATATCCTCTCGCGTGTTTCTCGTTTATCATCGTTCACCAAAAATCGATTATCTTACGTGAAATAATAATATAATATATACAGGATGCATCTGAAATTTTAGATGATTCTTTGTCGAAAATTAAAGGGGTTAAACATTATAAATAAACGAGATAAAAATAAAATTTAAAATATTCATAACTATCCTTTCTATTAGTGGAAAATATCCACCAAATTTTATTCTTTTAATTTGTCCGAAATTTGAGAAAAAAAATAAAAACTCTTAATTTTCGACAAGATTTCGACCTTCGCACTTCTTCAAATACACCCTACATATTTTTTTTCTCTCTTCGGAGGAAACCGTCATCGCATCTTTAAGATACACCTACGTGGAACTGTATATAGCAGATATATCGAGTTACATAAGAGACGAACGAATTCTTAGAAAAACCTGAATAATATCTCCGCGTAATGAATATGTAAAACACATCAGGTCTCGTGTTGCGAGGGACCATTTTTCGGAAGAGCGATAACGAGGCCGAAGAAGAAGATTCGGGATCGGAGCTGTCACGCAAACACGGCGGCGGCGATGAGTAAATCGAAGAGACGCCGGATTGCGATTGGTAAATTTGGCCTGACCTCTCTGGATAAACTCGGCCACGTGCTGTCTGTATATTACACGGTGTGTGCAGGGAGGACGAATGCGCGAAACACATTATTTATCGGGTCGGGAGACCCAAGAATACACACGACGACGAGATAACGAAGATAGTTCACCGATTGACCGATCGGCCGTTCCTTCGCGAAGGAAGGGATACGCCGTAATAAAATCACCGGCGACCCAATATCAGTATATTATCTGTGCTTTCTGACGTAGATTAAGCAGTCGACAGTGCTTTCGCACCCGGATTTAGGAAAAAAACTTCTTGCGAATATATGTGGTGACCATATAGACACACATATTCTGTTTCGTCTCTCGTATCATTAATTAAATAAAATTCATAAAGAGTTTGATTGCGGTTGCCTGACTTTTTTATTCTTGATTATTTGCAAATGTAAAAAATTAATTAATAATTAATTAATATCTAATATTTTTATAAATCTTCTCATCATTAATAAAATTCAGGATAAAGCTCTTGATTGGTCCCCTAATTAATTAATGATTAAATAAATAAATAATAATCTTTAATAAATAATTAAATTAATTATTAAACAAATAAATATATAGTTAATATTTTTATAAAACTGAAATATATATATATTATCTAAACGTGTTGAAAAAATAATAGTTCTGCACACAATTTCATACTTAGAATACATATTGAACATCTTTATATAAAGTAATCTTTTTTGCTCGCACTTTTTGCGGTGAGAACGACATATCGGTTGCTGCGCGACGCAAAAGCCTCGCGGAAATTCCGCGTTGCATCGCATCGCGCAATCAACTACGACGACGTACTTTTTTCCCGCGTCGTCGTCGTCGTCGTGTGATGGTTTATTTATCATTTTCCGCGAGGTCGGCGATGGGGCAATTATAGCGTTGCATTGCAAAATATATAACTTCCGGTCGATCGAGACGGCCGGTAGACGCGCGTGAGAATCACTATTGCAGAGCCGGCTTCGACAGGCGCAGCTGTAAATCGAAGAAGCCCGCGTCTGGCTTCTAATTCGAATTTTATTGCGCGACAGAAACGACGAAATGAATTCGACGCGCCGGATTTTGCCTCTCGGAAAGAACAAAGTGTTATGGTAGTTCAAGTCTTGGATCTCTCTTTTCATATTCGTCGTTTCGCGCGCGACGCGATACATCGCTCTGACGTAAAAAAATTGATTACGCTTCAGATATATATTCACGACAAATGACGTATAGAGAGGAGAGAGTGACATTTTCGTAATAATTCTCAAATAATGTATTTATGAGAGCTGTGAATGAAACATTACGCATGAGCGATAAAAAGGCGGAAATATAAATGTTTTGCCGCGTCGTATTTCAGAAACATTGAATACATAAACAAAATGGAGATGTATTTAATGGAGAAAAATCAGCGACATTTGTGATGTGACAGATAACACGGATTATTTTATTTAGGTATCCGCTCTCCTGTTCTCGAAAAGCTCATAAAAGCTCCGTTACTTCATTTGTATCCAGTGTTTGCGGTTATCTAAATAAAATTATATAGATGATCATCTAGATAAAATTTTGGCGCTCTTATCTTTATGTAGATAATAAAAATATGTATTATCTATAGCTGCATCTTAGATTAAAAGTGTTATCTTTATTAAATTATTTGGAACAATATTCAGATGATTTGGTTTACAAATATAAAAATATGAATACATTTTTATCCAAGAGTTTTTAGATGAACCATGTAATTTTATCTATCTAGATATATTTCAAACAAAATCCTCTTCATTTTATCTAAGATGAATTTATATATTTTCATCTCATCTATATTTACCTAATTTAAAAAGCATCTCCGCACAGCACTGTTTGCATCTCATATCTTCCTCTTTGATCCGAGAAGAAGGGAGGATTTTTCGGTAAATGCGAGAATTAAATGCAAATCGAAGGCTGTAGATGAAGAACCGCGAACGCGGATCGCGCGTCGCCCTCGTTCGATCGATTCTCGCTTACGCGAGAATCAGACGTGGCGAAAATTTCCCGCCTCGTCGGCGGGAATCGATTCGACACCTTGAATTCGCGACGCGACGCATCCGGTATCCAGATACGACGTGAC